ATCCTAATCTCCCGAGTCGCGAACTATGAACGCGGCCTCGAGAATTATTCATTTTTTCAAATCGTGAATGTTTTCTGTCGTCTTCTCGAAAATCGTCCTCCCCTTGTCGTTCTCTCCATCGATCCTCTGGATTTCCATAAGATAGACGGCTAGTACGTGTGAGTAAGGCTAGAAAAACTTCGACAAAGCGCTTTTTCCCCGCGATTGGATCGAAGCGCTTCCAAATTCAATCCGTTCAATCCAGCGACTTGAAAAAATAGTTAGCAAAATATTAGCGCAGTGGATTTTTGTTTCCGCTGCTTTGCAGCCGCGACATGAGTCACGGGAGACAAGGTAGCGTGGCTCTGGAACAGGGAAGTCAAGCAAGTCGTGAAGCAGAAGAAGGAAGCATACAAGCGCTGGCAGAAGACCCGGAGCCCCGAAGACCTCGCTGCCTACAGGAGTTGCAAGAGGCTCGCTAAGGCTGCTGTCGCCAAGGCAAAGAACACGGAAATGGACGCCTTGTACGAGAAGTTGGAAAGCAGAAACGCAGAGAATATCGTCTTCAGAGCTAAAGCTCGGCACCAAGGTACTCAGGATGTTAGGTTCGAATATTGTTAACAGCAGCAACGGTACCATCCTGAGGAAGAAGTCCGAAGGTCAAAGGGAGGCGAGAAGAATACTACAGTGCACTTCTAATCGAGGACTTTTCCCCCATGGACACTCACTAGCAGAGGCAACGCTGGCCCCATCTCACTGTGGACAGAGGATGAGGTTCGTCAAGAACTAGGAAGATGAAGGTTGGAAAGGCGGTTGGTCCAGATGGGGTGCCAATCGAGGCATGGAAGGCGCTCGGAGAGTACGGGATAAGATGGCTCACCCGATTCCTGAACAACGGTAACTGCGGAAGGAAGGATGCCAGATGCCTGGAGAACAAGTACTATCGTCCCCATCTTCAAGCAGAAGGGTGACGCGATGGACTGCTCCAACTACCGCGGGATCAAGTTGACTGCGCATACCATGAAGCTGTACGAGCGACTGGTCGACTCGAAACTGCGGGAGCTGGTCCCGATCTCCCAGGAACAGTTCGGGTTCATGCCCGAAAGGTCTACAACGGATGCCATCTTCATCGCAAGGCAAGTGATGGAGAAGTATCGAGAAAAGCGCCGACCCTGCTACCTAGCCTTCCTCGACCTGGAGAAGGCGTTCGACCGGCTACCGCGAGCAGTGCTATGGAGGTCGCTTAGGGAACGAAACGTGCCAGAACACCTCATCTCTCTGGTGAGGGACATGTACGAAGGAGCCAAGGCAGCTATACGCACCCCATACGGCCTAACGAAGGAGGTGGACATCACGGTTGGGGTGCACCAAGGGTCAGCTCTGAGCCCGTTCCTCTTCCTCCTAACACTAGATGTCCTGGTGAAGGGGCTCATGGAGGGACCACTAAAGACCATCCTCTACGCTGACGACATCGCCCTGATAGCGGATAGTAGAGAGGAACTCAGGCCAAGGTGCAGCAATGGCAGAAAGTCCTGACAGAAGGCAGGCTACGTTGACTTAGAAAAAAGGCAATCTTCGAGCTCTGAAGACCCGGGTCCGAGCCGAAGTAGAGGACCCGTAGTTAGACGTTCAGCATAGTAGGGGTTCCAGCTCTTTATCGCCGGTTAAATGTAAACGGGTCGAAAGAGTGGATACACCCTATTACTGTTGAGTGGTGGACACTTACGTCTAGCGCTCGCACACACTATAAAAACTTTTGAAATGTGACAAAAAATCCCTTTCCGGAAAAATAAGTGGAAATTGGGCGTCTAGCCGCTATTTCATAATAAAAAGCTGTCAGGAACATAATATCGTTTTGTGAATGAAGTCCTGTTTCTTAAGCTCAAAGAAAGGAACTGCAAGGGCTACTGCTCACCAGAAAATTCTCTATCGTCGTAGAAGGTACCTGATTGAGTCATACCAGGAGAACGTGGATTAAGTCCACCAACAGCTGGCTCGCTTCTGCGATTGAAGAACTGAGTTGTTTTTGCTTCCGCTTCCGTATCATATGATCGGTGATTACAAGAAAAAACCCACCTGTTTTCATAAGATTGTTTGAGTGCCTTGTCGAGTTTGATTTGTTCGGTCTATCGAAATTGGCCTGGCTGCGGTCGCCACTCTTCGCGTTCTATTCTATCCTCCGCACATATCTTGCATCACAGAAGTCCTCTAAATCAGTGCATTTTGCCTCCTAGTGGATTCTAGCTGATATTTCCCTTGAACCCATAGCAGGCCCCATAGCAGTCACTATCGGTGCACCACTACAGTCCACTCTGAAAACTTCGTACCGTGTATGAATCGCCCTTGAATCCCCTACCGAATAATGAAGACAAAATTTTCGCAATTCTCTGGAAATTTGCATGGAGAATTTTCTGAAGACGGCCTCCAGAGTGAAAAGTATTAATAGCAGCAGCCGTGTTTCCCGCAGCGAAGAATGTTTCGAGCTGCGAAATGCGAAAAAAGTCGCTTTCTGTCCTGGTGAACCACACCCGAACCACTATATGTATGTCGTCAACCTTCGAGGCTCGTCACTGAGTAAGGGTTGACAAAATAAGAGATGCTCTACATAGTGATGATGAAATAGAAAAGATTTATGTGAGAAAAAAATATGTATATAAAAAAAGGATAACGAAAACGAGAGAGTCAAGACATAAGAGGCAGAGAACGGATTCGTCTTGGCTACACTTTTTTGTAATGGCTTGATTATTGTAAGGTTTCTCATTAGAACCCGCCCTCAGCCGAGGCCGGTCGTAGTCACGTGGTCGACTCTGCCGGTTGAGGCGCACTTCCTCTCCGTGAGGGGGAGCCTCAGGCTACGGCCGCCAGGAGGCCAAGGGCGACACATGAAGTGCGCAGAGCACTTCATGGGCGCATGCTGCCGTGCGGTCGGGCGCACGGTAGTCTCCCTTGGCGGAGCATCGGTAAGTTCACATTATCCTATCGAGGTTCGCCTCGCTTAGGCCCGATGGTGTGATCGGCTGTAGGGCCCTTAATAACATCTGAGGGAGGAGGCAGAGTGCAATGTAGGATTTCCGAAGGACCCTTCCGAGGACATGGTCAGATCCGACGCCAGCAGAACATGAGAGTAGGACGATGGAATGTTTAGGAAAAGGACCTTTAACAAATGTATTAGTGTGTTGTTTATCATGTGTGGTTAGGGAGTGCCAGGGCGAGGGGCTCGACTTGTGCGCTATACCGTCCTATGTATCTTGCACTGTGTTTGATTATTAACTCGTTGTGTAGATGTCTCGGGGAGCGGCGCCTCGTGAGGGAAAGCGGCACGGATCCCGAGTGACCCACTCGGGCTAGGCACCCTGTGGTTGAGCGAAGGGGATCCGAAACCCCGTTCGTCGCAAGGGGACGAGACCTAGAGGGGGGTCTCGGGGATAGAAGGATACCTCTTCCCTCAACTGATTCCGCGACATTTATGCCACGTGTATATGTACGAACTCCTGTAGTCCAGAACACTTGATTTTTCAACTGTGTCAATGTGTTAGAAACGCACTTGTTACAACTTATTTCTTCAAATTAATTTATTATTAACCGAGCAGAGTAAGTGATTAACATTTATGTAATTCTACTTGTTTCGAGTACGTTTAAGATTGTTTGATGTAATATTTCACAAATTTCTTCATTTTGTTCCACTAAAATCCGAGAGGATCTTCGTCGAAAAACTCCGCCGGAAATGGGTTGTATTCTTTTGTCTGAAAAGGATAGCTTCGCCAATTCACAAGTACACTCTGCTTGCGAAAACCAGATGCGCTCTAGTGCAGACCACACACCACAAGTGACGACGGCCTCCAAGTAAATCTGGTTAGTAGTGGTTCATAGTGATAGCTGATAGTTGGTAAATGATAGTTGTAATTAGTGACAACTGATAGAATACAACTGCAACAGGCTTTCATTGGCAGAAAACATTACATTTTGTGGAGGCCGTCGTCACTTGTGTTGTGCAGTCTGCACTCAACGTGCATCTGGTTCTCGGAAGCAAAGGGTTCGCTTTCCACGCCTCACTCCACATTTGTCTAGCACGGTTTCACTCCCTCGAGTGCTAATGTGGAAGGATGATTCACTACTAGACCTAATGAAAATAGTGTTTACGATAGCTTGGCTCTGGAGCTGAGCGTGGAGCGAGTGGCTCTATAAGCATTTGTTATGGCAAGTTCAAGGTTGATTAGCGTAGCTTATGGGAGCGTTGAGACCGCGTATAGACCTTCGGCGAAAGATTAGATAGTCGGTGGGCGCCACTAGGGCCGCGCGGAGAGCCATGCTAGGTCGACGGGGCATATCCTTTGCTGCGAATTGCGTGTCGGTCCGCACCCTCAGAGAGCCTTCCTGTCAAACCACTGGAATTTTTCCATTCTTCGAACTTCGATCTCATCGTGGAATCCTCATTTGATGGCGAAGAAGATGAAGAACACAAGCTATGCGCCCAACCTCCAGTTTGCGTTTCTGCGCAAGCAGGAAAATGTCATTTACTGAATAATTGAACAGGCATTGCTTGGAAGCTAGTATCATGGTATCATCCGCTTGGGTAGGTAGAGAAGGAAGAGAGCAAGGGACATCGTGTCATGGTCGCAGAACAGGGCAATTCTTCGAATCCCATGGCATGTCAGCTTCGACTCGAACACCTCTACCTTCGCAGACGAGAACTGAATCAAAAAATGAACACTGGGTTGGTCCATAGTTTCTTATCTTTAATTCCATGAATATTCTAATTAAAATCTTCAGAGTTCGAAACAAGGGCTGCGACGTGGCATCCTCTTTGTATAATCTGACAGGTCAGTCATTTCGACTGCATGCTTCCTCCCGGTTTCTGTTACTTTATAGGTATTTTAGTGTCTCTTTTTTGATCACTGATTAGAGGAGTCCGGAGGACAGGTTGGGCAAAGGCCCTACCTCAAGATGAATGAGGCCTAACTTCACTAGCTCGAAACTTGGCATGATAACTAATATAGCTGAAGCTGATGCAAACTCACATTATTCAACGTAGTCCCTGAAGTCTGCCCTTGGGTGCATTCGAGTTCAAGATCTCTTGCGCATCTGAAAACAGCGGTCAGAGCCTACTCTTCTGCACATATTTGGTAGGCGAAAGTGGTTTGTGAACGGCAGGTGTTTCACAAAAAATTTCGGATACCTCACGCTAACTTTAAAAGCAGCATGTTCTATAATTTGGATGTGCATCAAATAAGGAAACCTTTATGCGTAGGAAATCACTTGTGGTATTTTCATGGCGAAATAACACTAGTTGCAACTCAGTTAGGCTCTGAACCAGCAACGTTAGTCATGGCTCCGAGTGAAATTGTTCACGCTCGCGACAACGAGTTACATTGTTCGCCTCTTTTATGTGGAAATTTTTTAATATATCGATGTATACTAAAGTTGTCCGCCGAACTGTGCCCATTAAACGCTTATTGGGCATAACACCTCTAAACTAATAGGTGGAGTGAGAGCCCCAATCCTTGTTTTGTTTTTTTTTTTCTATTTTTTCGTACCATTAGTTGGCATACAAGATACACCTGTTCACGGAGATTGCAGATGTTCGCGACTGAAAGGTGCAGAACGAGTGGGCTTCACAAAGTGAGCAAATCTGAGCAAACTTCTACATGCACAGCCTGAGACGCGATGTGGATTAGGAGATAACGGCCAGTACCATTGGGCCAGCTGCTGATGCGGCTATGCTCAGAGTATTCGTCTAGACACAACCTCCTCCGCTAGAGTCTTTCTCGACGCGCTTTTTAGGGACGGAGTTTTTGACGATTTTTTCCCATTTTTTTCCACTGGAAAGGTTCACCTTACGCGCTCATTTTTACTGATATAATGTCCAATTCATAGTGGATGTCCGCGTGTTACAGAAACGGAATTCCAAAACCCTCCATAACATTATCCTCAGTCCACTTTCTCTTTTTTTCATTTTTCTTCCTGTATGCACATTCAGATGACTGTAACCGCTGCTTTGAATTATTTGTGATTCTGCATCTCATTGTAATCCCAATCCGTAGTATTACTATCCCGTCAGAGTCATTGTCATGGTGTTTAGCCTAGAGATAATATAATGAGCAGGTTTCCAAAATTTGATTGAGTTTTGGAGCCGACATTTTATTACGAGTCTCGTCACTGCTTTACCCGTGTACGCATCCCTCGGCTAACAAATACCGTAACCATCTTTCGGTTTCACACAATGTTCATCGCTACTGGTTCACGAGTTTTTGAGCCACATTAGAAGCACTCTTAAAATATACGGAAGACGAGACGGCAAAAAAGGTTTGTCGCAATTGGTTTCAGAATTTCGGAGAGCAACTGTGTTCTCAGGAAGCGAGCAGTCTGAGTATGACTAAAGCTGAGTGTAGGCGAGAGCGAGTTTGACAAACTCTGGGAAGATATCGCCGTCCAGGCGCCTCGAAAAGCATCACTATTTATCTATAAAGCAATGCGAAGGATCCACTAGATGGGTGCAATCAGCAACAAATCAAGCCCGAAGTGTGACTTCACCCAAGCAGCGGGGTTCTGGTTCTCTCCCGTTGCGAGTTCCTCACTACAGACCTCAAACAATCACCTCAGCGCTAAAAACGAAATTTACTACACACTGGTGTGCAAAACTTAAGGACCAGATAGATAAATTGTCCTAACTTATTAACAATTAGATGGAATTGGATGAAACTGTACGGGCATAATGCTAGAAGCCCTACAGTCATGGGCACCGAAGTGGGCCTCATATGTCTTGCATCCGGCTTCAATCTGGAGCCTAAATGGGGTGGCCACCCAGAACGATGGGTATCGTGGGGCAGGACAAGAGGGGTGAACTAAGCAGGGAGAAGTGACTGTGGAATGTAGTGGTGTTCTTGATTACATCAAGTCTCAGAGACAACACTAGGGTGACTTTACGCGAGGAAGAATCATTGGGAAACTGAAAAAAGGAAGTTGTGTCCAGGAGTTTTGTGTCAACCACAGCATTGTTTTTTGTGCATGAGAAGCAATGTGGACCGCAGCCACTGCTGTCCCAAGAAGAGGAGGTTGTGGGTCACGAACAACCGCAGCAGCAGGTGATTGCTAGGTTTTGCTACAGGCAAAAATGGACCCACGTCAGTCACATGCTGCAGTTGCAAAAACATTTATCAGGATTGTAAGGCATGTAATCCCAGTCCGGACAGTGGCGCAGTGACCGCCTAGGAGTGATCTCTCTCATCGATCAACAATACCTGTATTCATTTGAAATCCACGCCTCGGCTGGGACATTTGGTACGAGCCGAGACATTGGAGATGGACCACCGAATTGAAAAATCGCGTATTCTTCCCGGTCAAGAGCAAACTGAATGTGAGTAGTGATTCTGGACTTACCTGCATATGGGGAAAATAGGAACGTGTAATCTACCCAGGACCATCGTTTAACATGATTGTTTTGGTAGTGCATGCGACATGATGTGGGGAGGCATAAAGTTGTCGGGGCGTACTGATCCCCAACTCATGATCGCGTTACACTTTCTGATCAACGTGATTGTGGTGTTGTACCCTTCTGTCATGTGCATCTTTCCAAGGGTTCCCTTGCCCTCAGCTTCAATCGTATGGAGGGCAGTGTGCGAGAGTATCGAGCAGCCTGGGTGGAAAACTCTTGAAAAGTGAGGATTTTCGGTAATTGGTGAAGCCATTTATTTCCTCCAGTCTAATTCTATGGAGCACGTGTGGCGTGGATTCAGATGAGCTATTGTAGCACATGACCATGTGCCAACAATAGTCCTGCAGTTGTCAATCGCGGTCTCCAAGGAATCGGTCACTTCTCCTCAAGAACTCTTAACTAATCTTACGGCCTGTATGGGAACACGTAGCAGAGCATACCTTGCAGTCCGTAGTGTTCATACACCCCATCAAGAACCAGCTCCTCTCTTTTGAAGTGTCTACCATGAGTTGGAGAAGCCTCACCTATCGACCGCTTCAGACAGGGTATTTGCAGAAAAATGTCTTTTCCAATCGCCCCTTTGCGCTTTTCTGTTAGTAACTCTCTGCACTGTACCGCAACATTTACTTCTATATATGTGCCAAATTTGGTCCACCTAGGTTAACTAGCAGTGAGATATCATGTGAAAGTTACTTCCGTCCTTAAGTTTGCACACCGCGTTACTACATGCAGCAGTAAAGACGCGCTGCGAATCTAGATTAACTCAGCTAACTATTGATGAAAGTGCTCTACTGGACGACAGCTCTCGGCCACATTGTGCGAAAAAGAATGAGGGTCTGCGTTCTCAAGAAACCCCACGTTCTAAGTTCGACCTATGTCCAATTGTCATGACTGATGTCCCTAATAAAACCGATTGAGCAGAGAAAAGCCGCGCACAAGGATTCAGCAAGGGAGGGTGGTTTGTGAACCAGGTGGTTGTGAACCAGAACTGTTCAATAATGTACAAATACATAAGGTTCTTAGTTTGATGAAATTGAATTGCTTGTGCATGAGTACCAAAGGCAATTAAAATAAGGACTTATTTTTGTGGTTCTCAGGCTGCCTCTGACTAGTCGAATACTGTCGAAAGTTCATGCCGTGGAAAGCAGTGCTTGCTGTCCCCTTGTCATGGGGTTCCGCTGCTCTGCCATTCTCTGTCCCTTCTAATAAAACCCTCGTTTTTTTCAGCTGGCTGTGTATAGAATCAACCATCTGTTAGACGCTAGATTAAGTGGAATCAACCTTCCGTTGGATAGCTCAGATCAGGGGGAAAAGTATATATGACTTCTGATAAGGTCCTCCGACTCCTGCGTAGCATGGCTTAGGCTCATGATGGCTTCACGATAAGGGGATAAGCTCACGCCTAGGAATTGGCAAACACGGAGTCGTCGTTATAAGGCCTGACCGAAACATTCCTATTCGCAATTTTTCTGAAACGGCTCATACCCTCATACCGAGTGGACAGGGGAAGCGAGAGGAGTCAACTGTTAAGGAAGAGGAGAACTTTCCGGAGGTTTTAGAAAGTTGAAGAAACTTTCAAAACTTTTTGCTTTCCGCTGTTTCGATAATTGTGTAATCACTGTTAAATTCCTGGCAGTATAAGGAAGGAGAGTGCATGAGCCCAAGATTTAGACGTTGCCTGTAGCCCGCTCTTTTTAGACATGTCGCTTGAGAGTGCTCTGCATGAGAGAAAGCATCAGTATAACTTACTCTGCTGAAGAGGGGATAGACGACTTCATTTCCCAGTCGTAGGGATCAGAAAAGCTGAAAATGTAAAATTGAATGAACGGTTGAAATGAATGCGAGGAGCTGGTGAGAATTCCCATGGTCTGCGTGCATGAACACTGACTACATCTTGACTTATAATCATGTGCAATAAATAGGTATGAAATGTTTGCTATTGTTAATGCAGCAGACACAATCCTGTTCAAGTTTCCATGTTGACTTAACCCGTCGAAATTTTGAATTTGAGCCTTGGTGATTACAAAAGAGCATCCTTGAAATGACAATCGCAGGAAGGCTCTAGCATAAGTACCTTTCCGAAATTTCTAGAAAGTTATGAAAGTGTCAAATTCATTACTCCTTTAAATTACTTTTCAGTTTTCGATTCAATTAAATACAAATTCAATATCCCGACAAAGGACAGAAAATCCCGCAAAAATTGGAAAAAAGAAGTAATCTAAAAAGGCCAAATACTCCAAAAAAAAAACATAAAATGTGCCCAGAGGACTGCGTTGGATACGATGCATCGGCATGGTCTAATGCACCAGCATTCCGCCCACCGTGGAATTTTGACGTTTTCGTATTTGGTGAGCCAGGTATGAACCTAGGTTTTGTAGAGTTTCAAATCTAGCGTGGCTCACTCAATACGAGATAGTCTCAAATTCTTCGGTCACGATGTATTATAGAAAACAGGGAGGCAGCATTGTTTTAGAAATCGAAAGTATTAATTGAAAGACACAAACTAGACTCTTCGAAGCATTGGTGCTGGTACTGATGAAACCCTGGTTTTCTCCTGCTAACACATTGCAGCCCGCGTGCATCGCCGGGTATGCACGTCGAAACTCCCACATCTGACATTTGTGCATCGCCGGGTATGCACATCTGTATTTTGCTCCCCAATGAACCTTTTCAGTACTTCTTTGACTATTTGACTTCGTTAGTCTCGCGAATCCGTAAAACACGTGGCATGTCGACAACTTCAATTTCGAGAAATTTATGATGCATTGAAAGTTTTCAGTCAGTTTGAGGGAACTTGCTTAGTGCATTTCCGCAGCCAAACTCGCAGCGGAGTTCGCCCTTAGCGTAGTGATTGGCGGTGCCAATCACAAAAAAATGATAAGGAAGTTGCGTGGAATTTCACACCAGTCCGCCAGGCATTCTCCAAAATGGTGTTACTATAGTGACGGTATTCAAAAAGGCTCCCAAAAATACGTACGAAACAAAGCTAAACGCTTATTGAACTTATAAACACGTAATGACAAGCAAAATGAAAAAAGACATGATTCGTATACGAAAACGAAAGCTCTCGCGCCCTTTCAATGGATCGGCTATGTGGGTCCCGCAACGGAAACCCACAAAATGTCCCACATATGAGATTTGTGCATCGCCGAGTATGTACGCACGCAATACGGCCAATGACACATGTGTGACATGCGCCGAAGTCGGCGCGGGCGTGTTAAAGAATTTGGGACAACGCTAGACCAATTATATAAGTGAGTAAGTACTACCTCTTCCCGAAAAAAACAAAAGTTAGCGCTAAGCAAAACCGCTCAAAAGAGATTGCTTCTAGATTTCTCAAAGTCACATTTTCTCAAAATGGAATGGAAGCACAACTGACTTAAAGTTTCCAGCATTCATAACTTGCATGAGTAGACGATATATCAAAGCGTAATTAGGACGTAAGTAGTAATTAAGTGTCCTGAAAATGCTCATCGCTGAATTTATGTACAATGTAAAACAAAGAAACAATGGTGCTGTATTCAGCAACTGTTCTCACATAAGATGTTGTGCAATGGAAATGAACTCCACTGGGCAGTTTTTTAACATTTCTTCTAAATCAACTGTCTTCTTTACTTCCAGAATATTTGGTCCTTCCCTGAAACAAAATCGTGCAGCCAGACGTTAATGTTAAAGCCCAATCAAGAAACCATCCCCATGGGAGTAGTCGCATTTGTTGATGTTGTATGGTCCGCTATTACAGAAGTTGCTCCACCTTCGCGTTTCGAAACGCGTTGCTAAGACACTAGGCGCCAGGGACTTCGTTTTTCCTTCAGCATCGAGTCCTCCCCTACCGAGCTCTCTGGGAGAACACTCGTATAACTTCGTAAGGGAGGGTCGAATAAGGCGAAAGGTGCCATCTTTATCCCCGGTTCTCTGATTCTCTAGTGCCACGTTTCCTTATGTGGTTTATCGACACTTTCTTTTGCTGTTCTTTAGCATTCCATCACTGAGCTTGAGTGCGACCTGAACCAATTCAGCCTGAATAATGCTCCAGCCTCAAACGTTTTTTTGGACTAACGCAAGTGTGCTGTTTGAATCGCAGCTGGTTGTAGTGTCGCCCTGATTGTGACGTGAAATCACTATTTATGTAGGAGAACGTAGAATCGACATGATGTAAAATTTCCCTACTAAAAGCTGTGAATTATGTCACATGCGGATCTGAGATGCATACTCATAGCAAATAATCTTAATACTGCCGGTCATCGACAGTTCACTAACGATCGTTACCATTAAGACATTTACGTCGGTAGCGCGCGCTTTCAGGGATGGTACTAAAGTGCCATAGAGTGAGAGTTGAAGGTGGTGAACTACGGCCGTAAAGGGTGAATAATGAAAGGCGAGACAGCCAGATGACCCCGCTCTGAATGGCGAGCTTCACTACATTCCTAGCAAAAGTCGCGTCGCCATGGACTTGAACCATGTAATGCAGCGCCCATGAGCGCGACGTTTGCCACTGCACCACAAAGCATTGCTGTGTTACTTCGAAAGAATTGTAGAAAGCAAGGTAGTAACCTATGAGGGTTGCAAAACATCCAGTATCATGGAGAATTGATCCCGCGAGCGATCCAATGTCAACAAGGAACGAACCCACTGCGCCAATCGACGTGTTTGAAATGTGGGATCATGGCCTAGATGATTGTACAGGGTGAAATGCTCCCAGGACCAAGGAAGGAGCTATAACACGATCAATAAGTGGAACACTGCAGGGGACAGCTGATCACCTTATTGGCAGAAAGTTATCAATATTATCGATAGCTCCAGTGGCTTTCTTGCTGCCCCACTCTCAACACCTTCCACGAACCCCTTCTTCCCTGCGCTCTGCGCTCCCACGCATGGCATGGCGGGACGCAGAGACGCTCAATGCGACCAATGCATGACGTGCAGAGAAAGGGGAAGTGCATGGGGATTGAAGAGACGCAGATAGACGGCGACTAAAATGTACTCAGGGGTACATTTTAGTCGCCCTCTACATGACCCTCTGCAATCTCCATGCACTTTCCCCTTTCTCTGCCGGGTTCGCCGTCTAGGCAAGGTGCCACCTAATACGTTGGCCACTTAAGATGTGGCCTAGACCTCGCCCTCTGCGGCAGGTCAGCGCGAGTTTCCCGCCTTTCCCAATGCTTTTTAGGTGCGGACGAAGGCGAGTCAACGTGACCTAGTGGCCAACTATTGGTCGTTGAGAAGACTATTACCTAAACTGTCCTAGGGATCGCGCAAGCGGCATTTCTTTCTATGAACAGCTGTTCCTTCCTTACGTGAGAAATTGATCCACCTAGTTCCATCAAAGATGTGAAGTCAGCGAACAACGCTTTTCATAATCTACCCTTTCGGAATGAACACCGATGCTGGCTATATTAAGAGCACCCAAAGCAGTGTTTTTCGGAACGTCCGAAAAGTGCACTGGGGAAAATACAGCAGAGTTTGTCCATTCAGTTGTTTGCGATGTGCCATCCTTTCTCTGCTAATTATGTTAGGTTATATTGAATGCGGAAATTCCTCAACTCACCTTATAATTGCCCACGGTAATGGTCCTCGAAGCTCAATCAACATATACAAATAACACCATAAATCATCGTCACGTCCTTGTTCTCCCTTTTCGTGACAGTTAATCGAGCAATAGCGGAGCGTTCCCCTTCAACTTGTGCGATCTCATGGCATATCTGTGGTTGAATAGTGAAGAGAGCTACCTGAAGTGGACTCGTGGACGGGGCCTCCGCATTTTTGGTCGCCCTCCTTCTGAGGTAATGACATATTGTCGTGCTAGACCAAAGTCAAACATATGTATCAGTCGGAACTGTGGCGTGCCTACAGGACCAACTGCCAAGTTTCCTGGCTTCAAATCACGATGTACGAAACCAATCTGAATAAACTGTGTTTTCATGGTGCTATTCAAAGGAATAGGGTGATGAGAGGAGACATACGTCATGAAGCTGTTTGAGTGCAAATAGCACATTAATTCCCACTCTCACTTGAGTGGAAACACTACAAACTTTCCCATAGAGTCTGAAGCGTAAAGTACTGTGTACATGACCTGACATTGAAGGTCGAGGGTGACAAACTTGAACAGTTACATACTTTAGTATCTTATTGAGACTTGGTCCAAGTAATGTGAGGATTATATACGAGTACGTGGCTTTCTTCCCTGAGTCCAAGAGATGCGGAAAGAAAGGGTAATCTGCGAGCCGTCGCAAAATCTAAAAAAATTATTTACCTTACCAGAAAGCTGGTTACTCACAAAAAACTTTGAAATGTTACCTTTGGTAAAATTTTAAAGATTTTTGTGAGGAACCAGCTATTTATGCAGTGCCCCCGTTTTAATAAAAGAATCATCGAGAGCTTCACGCAACGGAGGTTAAGTTGTGAAAGAAATTAAACCTACGAAAACTACACTCTATGGCGTTCTGAGGTAAGTCCGGCAGGGAAAGTGGACGATGGAAGAACGCTTTGGGCGGCACGTGTAGCCGGAATGTGTTTAAGACGTTCGAGATTGGAGATAGAAGAAAATCTCTCCACGCGAACACGATAGCCCATTATGTCGAGCATTACATTTTCAATAGCGGGAAGTTTATGTTTTATGAATTATCGCGATTAAAAATGTATTATATTGTAAATCACACTATGCATAATGCGCTATGTACAATGCGCTGTGCGCTGTCTGCGTATTCGTCTGCCCGTCTGCCACGAAAATGAAGAACCACCTGGAGAGTCCGGGTTAAGTTTAGGATGGGTGGGCATGAGCCAGGAATTACAAAACATTCGAACGAGGGAGACATTGCGCCGAACTGAGCGTCGCCGACGCAAATTCGAGCTAACTAGATTAGGATAAAAGCTAAGGACGGAAGGAATCGACAGGAGCATATCTCTGTTTCTCGATCATACTGTTATGAGCGAAAGCTGTCCACGGAGCGTAGTGGGAGGCGTAGCATTGAGTGGTGGTGTTCATATAAATGACTCTTAAGCACATCAGGAACGAATTCGCGGGTAAGGACCACCTATAATGACGTTGCAGGTGAGAAGTTGGTCAATGGAGATAGAAAAAGTAGAAAAAAACGTCGGGCAGGGGCTTAGACAGGGACTCCCCCGGCCGTTTAGGGAGATGTGTGTTGGACGAGTTGTCCGAACCTGCCCGTAGTACATGCGCTCCAGTTGACTGCTGGCAAATAGCCATGCATGCTTGCAAATACATAACTATTTGCCAGCAATCGAAATTGAAGCGCTTCAATTGGGTTCTTATGGAATCGACCTCATACAGCGCGGCGGTCCCGCAACGACCGCTAGTCGAGCAAGCGCTCTGCACAGCGAATGTTGGGCGATCCGCCTCTTTATGGGTGATCCGCCCCCTCCAAGAGGACTTCGACCCCTTCCAGCGCATTTTAGAGGTAGGTTTTGAAATTAAAGACATTTCCTATAAACTTTAGTTGGGCTGGGGCATGTTTTGACCGCCTAATGACCAAGTAGTTGAAACCCTGCCTGGACTGTTGCTTTAACTTAGTGGAAAAGTCAAGGGCTGAAACTAATTGCGTGCTAAATGAAGGTAGGTTAACTGCTATCGCTACCTGCACTAAGATGGGCGGAATTCACGACAAAACATCATGACACGGTTTCAAGAAGAGCCACAGCTGGTCCCATCGCACTCTGGACTGAGGATGAGGTTAGGTGTGCACTTGGGAGGATGAAGGTTGGAAAGGCGGTTGGCCCAGATGGGGTGCCAATCGAGGCATGGAAGGCGCTCGGAGAGTACGGCATAAGGTGGCTCACCAGCTTCCTGAACAAGGTAACAGTGGAAGGAAAGATGCCGGATGCATGGAGGACAAGTACCATCGTCCCCATCTTCAAACAGAAGGGCGACGCAATGGACTGCTCCAACTACCGCGGATCAAGTTGACTGCGCATACCATGAAGCTGTACGAGCGACTGGTCGATAAGAAGCTGCGGGAGCTGGTCCCGATCTCCCAGGAACAGTTCGGGTTCATGCCCGAAAGGTCTACAACGGATGCCATCTTCATCGCAAGGCAAGTGATGGAGAAGTATCGAGAAAAGCGCCGACCCTGCTACCTAGCCTTCCTCGACCTGGAGAAGGCGTTCGACCGGCTACCGCGAGCAGTGCTATGGAGGTCGCTCAGGGAACGAAACGTGCCAGAACACCTGATCTCGCTGGTGAAGGACATGTACGAAGGAGCCAAAGCAGCCATACGCACCCCTCACGGCCTAACGAAGGAGATAAACATCACGGTTGGGGTGCATCAAGGGTCAGCTCTGAGCCCCTTCCTGTTCCTCCTAACGCTCGATACCATGGTGAAGGGCCTCATGGAAGGACCACTGAAGACCATCCTCTACGCTGACGACATAGCTCTGATAGCGGATAGTAGAGAGGAACTTCAGGCCAAGGTGCAGAAATGGCAGAAGTCCTGGCAGAAGGTGGGCTCCGCTGAATGTCAAGAAGACCAAGTTCCTGAGCTCCGAAGAGGGTGCAGAGCCGATCGTGGACGGCCATGGTGAGACCATCGAAAGAGTGGAGGACTTCCGCTACCTTGGGAGCGATCTGGCAGCCGACAGTGTGTGGATCAGGCGGTGAAGGCTCGGGTCAACGCTGCATGGATGAAATGGAGGGAGTCCACTGGAATCCTCTGTGATCGAAGGTGCTCCAGAACGCTCAAAGGGAAGGTGTACCGACAGTAGTCAGGCCTGCGATGCTATACGGCAGCGAGTGCTGGCCCCTGAACAAGAACCACGAAAGGCAGCTTCACTCCGCTGAGATGAGGATGCTGAGGTGGGCCTGCGGCTGGACGCGGCTGGACAGAGTTAGAAACGGATGTGGATAGATGCTGAGGAAGAAAGGAAGTTCAAGTTCTCTTGCTGCTTGGGGTTTGGGCCGAAGTGGGTAAAGTTTGCCGGAAATGATTACAGAAATATCGGTAGTCCTGTTGTCTCATACCAGTGCACTCCAGTGTAACGCACGCGGATAAAAAAAGTTTTTTTTTCAACAAATCAGTGGAACAGGCAGCACTGAGAGTGTCGCACGGTCCCTCCAGTTATGTTGTACAAGTTTTTTTTTTCATTGAACGGAAACCTACCATTGCTTCCAACTTCAGCACACCATGTTTCCTGATGGTTTCAACTTTCAATGCTGCCTAAACACTTTAAGATCGTTCCTATTATATTTCGGTATCACAAGATATTTTGCCGTCACAAACCGTTCATAGCAGTTTACGGAGGCCTGACACAGAAGGAACGATCATTGATCTTCGCCATACAAATTAGCCCACGGACGGACACACGCTTCAGAGGTGTTTGGTGCATCGGCTATATCTCGCGCAAGTTCAACGTAACAGGAAAAGTAGTATGGGTAGCTGTTCGGCGCTTTAAAGGACGAATTCACGATTAAGGTCGAAGAAGGAGTAATTCACCTAGTTGAGGGACCCGCGGACCTCCTAAGGGTGCGGACTGAAGCGCAATTGGCACCGAAGGAGTTGACCTCGGCGACCTATTAAGGCTCAATCTTGGCGCGGTGGGCCAGTGCACGCCCACCGATCATCTGATCACTCGCCGCAGGTCTATACGTGGCGAGTGATTAGATAGGTGAGAGAGCGTAGTGTTGAAGAGGGCACAGCGATGAGAGTCGCATCAATGCTCAAATCAACGGGCAAGGAAGGGTCTGGGATGCCTCTAGAATACATTGAAATTTGAACTGATTCGATTAAGCAGAAAAAAAGATCCCGGCGAAAAGGGCTTCACTGAAGGCTTTTGAGCGGTACCTTACACACAAACCGTTATCCAATTTATTGGCTGACATAGCAGAAGGATGGTAATATCTCCTCAGGGTAACACGTTGACGAAGAGCCTATTTTTCTTTGTCGCGCGTATGGGACGAGGCGTTTCTTGCATGCGGAGCATCAGAGTCTATTTTGTTGCTTTTCAAAATCTCGAAATATACAAAACGTTCTTGACTAGAAAGCCCCAGATTCAGAAGCAAAGGTAAGCTGTTAGTGCTTAATTATTGATGAAATTTCAGTAACATCGCCTGACATTCTCAAAACTTAGGAGGAGATTGATAGAAAATGCGAATTTCCACGCAATTTTCATTTTGTAGTTAATATGAGCTTTGCTTTTTTTTCATGGAGTTGGTAGTCTGCTAACATCTAGATGTCCCAGATGCGAAAAACTCTGCCGGCCTGACGGAGTGGCGCCTCTTTTTGGCTGTTAGTATTCATGAAGCTTGTATTCATGATGGAATAAGGCGGAAGAATGTATTCAAACGAGTCAACTCGAGATTGAAAAAATCGCTTAAGGAAGATTTCGGATATCGAGGAGCTAAATATTACTTTTGCATTCGCCGAGGAGTGACACTGTGCCTACTTGACCATCAAAGCCACCTCAGTTTCAGAAGGCTAGAAATGGGCTTTACTGCCGGCGACTTCATAATAAAAGGCCGATATGAACATTTTAATGACATTTCACTTTGCTGATAGTAGGAACTTTGTGGCTGTGATTCAATTGGCGACGCATTTTTGCAGCTGATAATTAATACAAGAGAAGTTCCTGCATCACATAGAAAGGTCACGGGTGGCAGCCGAATTTAGCATCTTAAACCCCTTAGGTACATAATTGTTGGAAAAGAAAATTCGCGGGCTTCGTTTGAGTTCCCTTGCTTCTACGCTATCGGTCACCGTTGACCGACATCGTGGTCAACGTGTTAGGAATGAACGAGATTTTGAACTATCTCAATATGAAAATGGGGAATTGCAAGAGTGTACTCACAGGAGTCATTGTCTCCATATTGACAACCTTGTAGACAGCTCCGAATCCACCTTCGCCAAGTTTTTGCTTTATTTTCCATCGATGAGCAACAACCTTGCCTTTCGGCATATTTGTAGGACTCAGCGTCGGTTCTGAATTCTTACTTTGATTATCGGGATTTTTTGTGCAATGCGTGTGGCGTGTGCTTGCAAGAGAAATCAACCAGTGGGTTTGACGAGGTTGTTGATCATTTCAAAAATCATTTTCAAAATATTTTCTGCCGTAGATTCTTTCTGGGGGTCGATACAGTAGCGGTCAAAAGTCTTCGCCGAAATTGTTTTTCGACTGTAACTTTTTTCCGCTGAATCAAATCAATTCAAATTTTAATATGTTTTAGAGATAGTCCTACTTCACTTAAACGGCATATTTGTTTCGGATTGAGAAAGAATTAAGAATGGAAAAAATCATTTCACTAGAAATTCTCGCGTATGAGCAAATTCCAAGTAGGTTTCAAATTACTCTAGCAAGCTTACAATTCAACAAAACAATCTTACGCATGATGAATAACACTGGGCAGGTCCAATACTTTGTTAATGATCTTCTGGGTTCGCTGAAATACTAACAAGGCCTAAGTAAGGAATCAGTCATTGAATGCACTGTCTACTAGGGCAGCTTCCTCCACTTCTCTTGAAATTTGACGAGTTTCTCGCCCATATTCCCGGTTCTAATTTCCACCAAAGGTATCCCTACTCTTTCCCATAATGTTTCGATGGCGCTCGGGACATTGGTGTGAATTGTTCCTTTCGTTGAAAGCGCGCCATGCTGGCGAAGCCACTCCTTCACAGTGAAGGTGTGATGCTTTTGGTCGCTCACTAGCATATTTTTATTTTTTTTCTTTTTTTTTTTTGTTTTTTTTTTTTTTATTTTTTTTTTTTTTGGGGGGGCCTGGAAGGCGAGCTCAGTTTGGGCAGCTGTCATACACGTGGATAAGAGCTCCTTCTAGAACCCAACTGTATAGGCTGCCTTCACATGATTGCGAATACTGCGAAGTTAGTCGGCGGTGAACTGGTCGGGGGCGAAATGTGCTTACGCACACCTAAAGTGGGGATCCCCATAGGGCTACAACGTCCTGCGGACCAACGAGAGTGAATTCAAGATGTTTGCCGGCGACTGAAATAGGAATGTGTGCGGTCCTGAGGAAAAACGTTTCGATCCAAGGAATTAACTGCCGTATGTAAAACTTGGCGGAGGCTCGCGTGTGGTAGTCCGTAAAAGAAGTTTTACAACTGCACAGGATTAGAGAAGTGGTGAATGCCGACGTATCAGATAGATTCTAGAAGGAGTTTCGTATCCGCTCGTATGAAACTGTACGTGACTGAGTTCGCCTTCTAGCTATAGAGCGACCAAAAGCATCGCACCTTCACTGTGAAGGATTGGTTTCGACAGCATGGCGCGCTTTCAACGAAGGGAACAATTCACACCAATGTCCCGAGCGCCATCGAAACATTATGGGAAAGGATAGGGATACCTTTGGTGGAAATAAGAGCCGGGAATATGGGCGAGAAACTCGTCAAATTTTAAGAGAAGTGGAGGAAGCTGCCCTAGTAGACAGTGCATTCAATGACTGATTCCTTACTTAGGCCTTGTTAGTATTTCAGCGAACCCAGAAGATCATTAACAAAGTATTGGACCTGCCCAGTGTTATTCATCATGCGTAAGATTGTTTTGTTGAATTGTAAGCTTGCTAGAGTAATTTGAAACCTACTTGGAATTTGCTCATACGCGAGAATTTCTAGTGAAATGATTTTTTCCATTCTTAATTCTTTCTCAATCCGAAACAAATATGCCGTTTAAGTGAAGTAGGACTATCTCTAAAACATATTAAAATTTGAATTGATTTGATTCAGCGGAAAAAAGTTACAGTCGAAAAACAATTTCGGCGAAGACTTTTGACCGCTACTGTATATAATTTTGACCAATGTATGTAAACACATTTATGAGCATCGTGCAAAATTTTAGCCAATTGCGAAGGAATCTACATGATATAGAGTCCGGGACGAAAGTAAACTGTCCGATGATTTCTCACTGCTAGCTAACCTAATTCGATGAAATTCGGGACGCACATAGAACTAAGTGTTACAGCATAGTGGAGAGTTTCCGAAAGAAACACACCAACGACGATTGAAAAAGACATGTTTCTTCACAGACAGTGCCTGAAGCGTTCGTTCGGGGGGGGGTTGAAAAGGCTGACCCGGTTCATGTAAACATTCAAAAGAGGGGAGCAGATTCCTAATAGAGAGTGTGTGAAGACGTTCTGCGTGGCATGCTTTGCTGCGTGCTCCCACAACGGCCGCAATGTTGGTCAAGAGTTCTTGTGAAAAGCGTTTCATTACTTGAACATCCTGAATGACAATTGCTAAGCATTTTTGGCGCACGACGGTGGCGCACGTAGCCTCTCTGAATGACGGTATAGGAACTGAGGGGACAGGGGAGGCGGACGGGCTCAACCAATCGCTGAAGCTCCGTTCCAAAACCTTTCCACGGCTGCTCGACACGCTTGCACGTTGTCCTTTATACTAATGAAATAGGGATAAAATGGTTCCATGAAAAAGTCTGAAAAGATTCACATTAGAAGGAGTACACCGTCACAATAACTTCGATCAGAAAGCATTCCGCGATCAGGAGTTGGGAGGTTGGTACGCCCTCGGCAACTTTATGCCTCCCCACACCATATCGAATGGACTATCAAAACAATCATGTTCGATGGTCCTGGTGCATTACATTTTCTTATTCTTGCTATGTGTGGGTAATTCCAGAACCACACACTCAGTTTGCTCTGAACGGAGAAGGGCATGCGTTCCTCCAAACTGGTGGTCCACATACAATGTCTCGGTACCTAGCCGAACGCAGGTTTCAAAGGAACACCAAATACTGTTATTTTGGCAGAGAGGCCGTCCATATGCAGTCACTGTGCCGCCTTTCAAGCTGGGATTACATGCCTTACAATCCTGATAAATGTTTTTGCAACTGCAGCATGTGACTGACGTGGGTCCATTCTTGCCTGTTGCAAAAGCGTAGCAATCACCTGCTGTTGCGGTTGTTCGTGATCCACCACCTCCTCTTCTATGGGCAGCAGTGCGGTTTATATTGCTTCTCATGCATTTAAAACAATGCTGTGAGCAACACGAATCTCCCAGTCTCCTGAACCACACTCTTAACACATTTTCTGTCTTATCACTTTCTATTTTCTTCCCAGTTTCCGAGTGATTCTTCCTCGCGTAAAGTCACCCTAGTGTTGTCTCTGAGACTTGCTGTAATCAAAACACCACTACATTCCACAGTAACTTCTCCCTTGTCAGTACACTCCCTCTTGTCCTGTCCCTACCAAACCCTTCGTTCTACATGGCCAGTCCTCTTTTGGCTCCAGAATGAAGGGATCCGCGTGATATAAGTACGAGCCCCACTTTGCTGTGCACGACCGCGAGACCTTCGGCATCATCCACAATTTTATCCAACTCCTTTAAGTCTTTGATAACTCCCAATTCAAATTCGAAATTCGATATGTTCTGCTATTTTATCCTCTTCGTCCTCAACTTCTGCACACCAGTGTCCGTAATTACGTAGTTTTTTCCTATGACTTCATTAGCTTGATACTGAAAGTTGTACCACCCATTTTTTGAATCCTGTCTGCGTTTTAACGCCCTTTTTGTGCAGCATTGGCGCTAATGCACTTGGAACATGGGAAACCGGCATTAACACGTTGGCGACCAAGCGGATTTTGGGGTGTCTGCCGCGTGGGACCACGAAAAACCAGCAAGTATATTTATCGCAAAAGCTACTAGATATAGCAAATTCAATGCGCTGATCACGAATATGGCAATGGTTCAGAGCGCTCGCGTCACTGGGCGCCAGTTTGACGCCAGCGTGGCGCCATCTTGGCGCCACGAATACTTTTCATGCT